AGCGCTTCATTAAAATGTAGCGTTGCTTGTGCCTCTGAAAGAAAATCTATTCCTAGATAATATGTGCTTGCAGATTCATTACTATGAAAAACATAACCTTTACTTGTTCGTCCTTGATACGGACATACAGCGGTAATTTACCTATACACTTACATCTTTCTCCTTGCGCCGCTAACACTGTCGTATTATCCGAATTATATATGCGGTATTTCCGAAAAATCTTCTGCCACACAGGAACACTACGCGCCTGTATCCAGGAGTGCGGTGGCTGGGATATTATTTACCAAGACTTCAATCTTCAGAAGAGTCAAATTTTTCACCATTACTGTATTTAACTTGAAGGAAGAGGGGTTTTCGTGGCCTTCGGATTTCCGCACCCTCCCGTCAGCAGAAATCCGTTTTAGTTTAAATTATTTTTCATTTCCGTGCTTTCCTTCTTTTTCCACTGGCCTTGAGACTTTTTTCTGGATTGCTATTGAACTGTCGACGTTCGCCGGCTGTTTTTGAATGCTCGGGTTTCCTTGCCCACTGATTCGCTTTGCTTCCGTAGCCGTGTGCTTGAGTTTGCTGTAGTCTTGGCGCACCAAATTGGTTTCGCTGTTGATATTGGCGTCTTCTTTCAATGTCCGCCGTTCTTCTACTTTCAAACTGGATTGCTAGCTCAAATAACTTTTCCAGTGTAGTCGGATTTCTTAATTCAATAAAGTCTTGCACTTGGGGCAGTAACCTCGGCAAAATCACTTGAATTATCTCAGGATCCGGACGGTTTCCATACAAGAGTTTGAAGACGTGAATTTTTCTTAAAATAAAGCTTGAGAGATTTCCGTTTCTAATTTCGCACGATCCCTTACAACAGGGAAGGCTTTTAGTAGGGCAGTCTTGAAATTTTCGTAAGTATAGGTGGGACTTCCTGCTTGACCCAAGAGACTTCTGCCTATACATTTGAACCAGTTAAGCGCTTGGCACCTCAAAGCGCTGGTAGCTAAGGTAACTTTTGAAATTCGTGCACGGGGTAGAGCATGAAGTGGTCATCCAATTTTTCCAAAAAACTGGTTACCGGTGAGTTTCCATTAAACGTTGCTTCTGGTTTCATCGAAGCGCGCATGGTCTGGACGATGTAACCAAATCCTTCCAGGGTGGCAGCTGGCATTTCTGGATTCTGAGCCGCTTCTACAGGCAGCACAGGTTCTTCTTGAAACTCGGCCATGGTTATTCTTCTTCGTTGGGCGCCACTATCAGGTTCAATGTTCCGTCTTACTTTCTTTGGGAACATGCAAGGACCTGACTCGGAACAGAGAGCTTACTAAAGCTATGTTCAATAACTGTGGGAAGTAGACAAGATACACAAGAAGGGTATACAAAACCCTTTATTTTTCTCTCTTTACAATAATTTCCGTACTTCGGAATACAAAGACCCACTACTTGTGGTCTAAACGTAAGAATATAAAAATAGAACTAAACGCTAACTTAACTTTGAAATAATAAACGTGGAAGATTGGCCTTATATTAACAGGAAGCCGTATGTAGTACAGAGAACTGTTAACACTACAATACGTTTAAAATTATCAAGAGGATTAAACCTCTGGCCTGGAAGGCAACCAGCAACTGAGTAAAACTTCTAAGGTAAGCGGCCTGCTTCGACTAATTCCTTCCTCTCTCTCGCTTGGCAAAAAGCCACAACTTAAGTACTTGGCGTTCGCCAGACAAATTTTGCATAAATAAGTTAACGCTTATAATTCTGGCCGGAAGTAGAAAATAAGAAGTGATAGTAAAGATTTAAAATAAAATAAACGTTAGTAAAACTTAAGATCCTTACATTTTAATCAGTGATTTTTATATATGTTCTTAGTGACGCGAAAATAATCAATACCTTACGCAATCTAACTACACTCTTTTGCACATATGAGTATTCACAAACTCATCATTCATCATTCAAGATATATCTATATTTATATACAACAGAACTGCCCAACACTAACTTTGGGCTCCTTCATGTACTCCATTTCTCTTTTCGTGCCTTAAGTGACTATGTGTATGTACCTGTTTTATGTGTTCTCTGTTTATGCGCTTTGCGTTTGTGTATTATTTTCTTATGTGTATTTATGTGTTTTTATGTGTACGTCTTATTGTATTTTTAGTTTAACTACCTACCATCTGTAACACCACAGCTTGCCTTTTCAATCTGTAATACAATCCTACTAATGCCCTTGTAAGGCATGCACTTCCCTTTGACAAGCTCAATAATCTCCTGGTAGAACCTCGTAGGGTTCCAAGGAGCTTTTGCTGTAGTTAGAGGAAAGCGTGGAACACATGCCTGTTTACCTCTGTTAGACACCAGGCGTTCCAGTCCTCCGTAACCTACCTATCTACCAAATAGACTGGACGCAGTCCTATGATAAATTACTTTCAGCTGTTTCATAATCATTTAACGCTTTAATATATGACCCCTTAAACTGAGTACGTTTCGCTATAATCGCATTCATTATAAACAAAACGAAATAAAGCAAACGTAATTTACTCATAAGTTATCATACAGTCGTGAAAAGTCAGGTGTTCCAAAAAGGATTATCTTTCAACGAATCAACTTACAATAAACTCTTATTAGAACTTAAAAATAACAGATCTCTTAAATAAAATGCTAATACATGATAGTGCGTTTGTACTCTCTGTTTGGATTTCTAAACATAGTCAGCCCCTTTCTACCGCGATACGTCGCTGTTGTCACAAAAAATCTTTTACAAGAAAAATAATTACTGAGCTTTAGAGATATAGGTGCTAGCATTAGTTATTAACGATAATACCACAATCCACTGTTATTTAAAAAGGCATTGATTTTAAGAGGCTGTTTTACATGGGGAAGTATGCGTGCAAAATTATGAAGAGATTATTTCCGGAGGGTGTTGCCTGAATCTGATTCGTAGATTCTATCTGTAGTTTCAGATTCTATGATTAAATGTGACGAGATCAATGGCGACCAGTGTCTAGTGCTTTTCTGTATAGAGTCTTAAATCTGTATAGAGTTTCAGAAATTACTTCATTAGTGTGTTTACTGACTCCGATTTGTGAATCCCATCAGAAGTTTCTGTTTTTGTGATTAATTGTGGCAAGGTGAACAATGACAGTATTATGTCTTATTCAAAGATTGTTTCCAGAGAATCTTCTTTGACCTCGATTCCTTAATTTCTGAGTTATTTCGACACTCTTTACCTGCAAAATTCATAGTGTTTGACAGGCAAAGGACAGAGTTTAACAATAGGTCTTTTAATTTCTCCATTGGCAGTTCTAATATCCACAACTCGAAATTTGTTATCCAATCCTGGATATACACGAATTATTCTACCCAGTTTTCATTGAAGAGGTGGTATGTTTTCATCCTTAATCAGTACCAAGCCGTTGACAGACATGTTTTTGTGAGATTTCTTCCACTTATTTCGATGTTGTAACTCAGACTGATATTCTCGACTCCATTTTCTCCAAAAGTTTTGGAAAATTAGTTGTCTCGATTTCCATCGATCAACAATATTTTTCGATTCTTCTAAATTTGCTTCGGGCAACGAAGGGAGACATGTACCAATGAGGAGTATTCAGGTGTGATAACACTAATGTCATTTGGATCATCAGATTGCGGAGACAAAGGCCTAGAATTCATTCAACCTGAGTTACCAAGGTTGTGAATTCGGGATTAGTCAAGATCGCTGCTCCCATTGATCTCTGAAGATAATACTTCATAGATTTTATAGAAGATTCCCGAATTCCTCCAAAATGTGGCGTGGCTGGAGGAATAAAATTCCATTTAACATTTTCTGAAGTCAGGAAAGAATGGCGATGTTCATTTTTCTGACATAACCGAGCCTTAAGGCACTCCCATTTGCATTATTTGCATTATTCTTGTGCTAGAGTAAGCATCACCAACTGAGACCTTAAAAATCCTGTTGTTAATGAAAGAGAAGATCAGGGTGAACTCCCGTTTAAAGTCAATAAATTTGGATATTAAACCTTCATGCCAAACGTGGTTGAAGTTTTCGCCACGTCCATCATGAGGATAAGCAAAACTTAATTTGCAGTGAAAGGCAGCGCCAGCAAACTGGGTAAAAATGTTCCTCAGAAACTGATGCTCCGTCTGGTATGTTATTTTCCTCCCGACTGCCAAAAAATCTCCAGTACCTTCCACTTCTTGAAATTTCTGGAAGGCATATGAGTGCCGAAAACTGTTGCAGTTGCACACAAGATCATTACAATACCAAGTACATTTATACAGGGACCGGGTCAAAAATTAGTCGCCAAAACCGTCGCCAGCTTGGCAATAAATTGGCGATGTCTTGCTAATTTAGCTGGATAGCCTTTTACTCAATGCTAAAGACTTGCTCCTGTATTCTTATTTTTACCTCAACGCTTCGCCTTTTCAGATTTCCATGTTACATTATACAAAAGATACTATTTTACATATAATTTCACTAAAATTATTTACTTATATACAATATTCGGAGCAATATTATGTTTTTCTTCTTTAATACTGAATCATGTTCATGGGTATTTGAAAACAATATCCATGAATATTGCGCATAAAGATTTGCAGTAAAGTTGAAATAAGCAATCATTAGTGGTCCAGGATTTAATTTATTTCATTTTGCATTAATTAATTAATTATTATTATAATACATAATTACATTGTTATTAATTACTGTGAAGAAAATTGCTTCAGTTTATTAACATTTCGATCGATTAATGACCTTCTGGAACGAATTAAGTTCGTCATTAGAGGTTTCATTGTATTTGTAAATGCATGCGTGAAATGTCCGTTTATTTGTCGTTTAGCTGCTACGTAATAATGTACAGAAATGAGCACCTGTCTAACAGCTGGACTCTTCCTACTATTGCCAAAACTTGGCGCTCAGCGATAGGCCACTAAAGTCGCCTGTTATTAAATTTCGTAACATTTTTCTATTCGCGAAAGTTTCAAAGATATTGGATATATTACGTCATCTTTGTATAAACCCGGAGCAAAGTTTAGGAAAAGAATCCAAAAGTCTCAAAATCAGGAAAAGGATCCAGAAGCTGTTGTGCTGTTCTGTCGTAAAATACTTAAAAGTCTCCCTAATGTAAGTAAAACTATGATATTTTGCTGCCTGTTGTTCTTTAACCCCTTCCGCATTCATTAGTTATTTTATGCCAAATAAAAATAATTTAACAAAATATAAAATTGGTCTCCTTTAATTTTTATTAACTTCACTTTCTTACTTCTTAATGTCTATAAAAATAAATAATGCAATTATTTCTTGCTCTCTATTTTCTGCAGCTCTGAGATGTTCGCTCTGCAATATGCGTGAAGACAGAGTATCTGCAAAGATTTTGTCTTAATTTATTCTTTATTTATGTCTTAATTAATTCTTATTAATTCAATAGATTTTGTCTTATTTATATTATTATTTATTATTATAATAATTTTGTCTTAATTTATTATTATTTTGTCTTAATTTATTCTTTAGATTTTGTCTTAATTATTATAATAATAATTAATAAATTCGGATAAATTCCAGAATTATAATTATCTTTAATTTAAGTTCTTTAAATTAAGTTCTTTATTATAATTATCTTTATTATAAATTTAAGCGCGCTTGAAAATATTTTAAGCTACATGCACAGATGAATCGAAGTGCATGCTCTCAAGGATATTTAATCAGGGATCATGAAATAATTTTAATTCGAAAATTTTAAGCAATATTTTATTTTCAATGTTTGAAATGGCTCTACGTAGAAAACATTTATAGCGTCCGTGGTAGGAAAATAAATTTAAACATTAGGTTTTCTGTTTACCTTTGTAGTTATTTTATAATTTTTTAAATTTGTCTATGTTAACAAATTAGTGTTCCACAGCTCTTATTACATGGTTGGTATGATTGTTAATACATTGTATGTCTCCCAGACGATGCAATACAGTCCGTACAACGCCTAGGAATGCTGAGTATCAAATTATCGATCTGATCTTGGGGTATATTACACTCAAAAAGCAATGCCTCTCCGAAGTTTCGGTAGACATGTAGGAGGAGGATGACGAGCTGCAACTCGTCGGACAAGCATGTCCCACACGTGCTCTACTGGATTCAAGTCCGTGAGAATGCTGGCCTCCTGATATCCTCCGATTAAAGGCATTCGCTTACCATGTTTGCACGGTGAGGAGGGCGTTGTCATTCATAAACAAAAATTATGCGTCCATGGCGCCCCGAAACAAACGTACATGTTGTTCCAGAATGACGTCTCGATAGATTTGGCTTGTCATGATTCCAATTTGAACATGTCAGTTCTGGAACCCAGAATAATTCCACCCTAAACGAGCACTCCTGCACCACCCTAACGGTGTCGTTCAATGATGTTTTCTTGGTGGTAACGGGTACCTGGAGCTCTCCATATGAAAGTCCAGCGAGAATCACACTGTAAGCTAAACCTGGACTCGTCGGAAAACATCACACAAGCCCACTGTTGCGGTGTCCACAATGCATGCTCTCTACTCCAGGCTAACCGCAGGCGACAGTGAGTTGCAGTAAGTGGAACGCATCTGACAGGTCTACAAGCGTATAGACCAATCTGCCCTAAGCATCTGTACACGGTTTGCCTTGAAATTGTCGTACCAGTGGCTTAAGAGAGCTGACAAGATAGGTCTGAGGCTGTGCTTCGCCTGTTTCTTTTGGCAGTAACTGCCAAATACCGGTCCTCATTCGGCGTTGTAACTCTGGGGCGACCTGTGCTGTAACGTCTACTCACCATCATCTTGGAATCGTTGTCAAAGCCTGGAGATGACACTCTGGGCAATTCCAAGTTCGTCTGATACTTCCAGTTGGGTACGCCCACCTTCCAGACGGCCAATAATTCTACCAGGTAAAAAATCATCCAAATGCGTCCTTTGTGTCATAAGCATTCGGTTATTGCACTGAAATGCTTATAAAGTGCCTGCGAATAATTTTACTTCTTTGCCTGTATTCCTTATATATCACTCTCTTACACTCTCGTCATTGTGACGTACCATCAATGTCATCTGGTTACTTCCTGAAATTTGCATATGATTCTTGAAGATGTGTGTAGTGATTCTACAGGTGATATATTTATTTTAGAGTTCGATTTCTGCGTGACTCCGAATTATCCTTAATTTATAGACATGAGTGTAGTATGATGCTGTTTGGTGAAAATGATTCTAATTTAAATAGTCGCAAACACTGTCAAAGGAATTTTAGAGTGTATTAAAAGAGCTCATGAGGTGATAATGTATAAAATCACAAATTTAACCACACAAAACTGCAGAATTCGTATAGGCATTATTTAATTCTGAAAGTAAAATAATCAATAAAATAAGTAAAATAATAAGTCAGAATAAGAGCCTTTCGTACATAAAAGTTTTAATAGAAAACTTATACAGTTTTAATAAAAATACCGTACTATCTAAAAGTGTTAAACAAAATCTTTTTTTTATTTCTTGAAGTTATCTGTACTAGAATTTCCACGAAACGTTTGAACGGCTTATCTAATTATTACGAAAGCACTATTAATGCTGAAATACATAAAAGGAAGAGGATTTTTTTTTTTAAATTTTATCCTTTCCTAGAATTTGGTTTAACTGTAATGTTATGACGTTTTGAATCGAATTTGATTTTGCAGTTTGATTTATCGATAGCGAAAAAAGTTTTTTACATTGTTTACTTTCAGTAGCTTTAAGTTTAAACACGTTTAACGTAATTTTTGTGTTACTTGTATGAAGTAAAGGAATTATTTTAATCTCTAAATATTTCGGGTATCATATTTTAAAAAAAATATTCATTTTGACTGCTCTCGAATTCATCTGAATGATGTTTTTGAGTGACATCTACAGTCAACACAGTACGTACAATCGTATAATATGTATCTCGCATAACTCAAAAACGAGTTGTCGTAGAACATTAAAATTTTATATATATGGCACTGTTATAACATCTAGTTCTGTACTTCCTTCTTTCGTTGCATTCGGTCCCACCAAACGTATATATATACGTTTGGTGGATTGCATTTAAATACATTTCCTATATATATATATATATATGTAAATATTAACAATTAATCAATTGTAAGTAAGGATTATTAAAAATCCTGGGTCTAGGCTGTAATGATTTAATTAAACATAATTGTAATTAAAGGGGAATACTCTTATTAAAACTCTTATAACTGAAATTAAATTAAGAAAGCAAATAAAGTAAAAGAATTATAATTTGAAGTCTAAATAAATTCCAATACTCCAATTCATAAATTTTAAGTAATATTATAAATAATTTAATTTAAAAATTTATTTAAATTTCAAATTGCAATTCTTTTACTTGATCAGCTTCTTCTTAATTTAATTTGAATCATAAGAATTTTAATAAGAGTATTCCCCTATATATATATATATATATATATATATTATATATATATATATATATATATATATATTTATATATATTATTCCCACTCTTTTACCCGGCTGGATGAGCTCAGTTTTTATTCTCATAAGTTGGTGAATTGTGCATTTTTCGATTTAAAAGGGATAGATTTATATTGCTCTTATGCTCCGGTTAAAAGTTTTATGCCTGTATTTAATCTGCCCAGAATTATCAACAGTTTAAAAATTTAAGTGGTTCTAAGCCTAATGAGGTGGCTATTTGTTTAAATTTGAAACTCCTAGTAAAAGAGTAAATTAAGTCAATTGGACTTCAGTGTCTTTTTTCCCCCTAGCACTGAAATTTTAAATTTTGTGCACTGCAAATTTTGTCTTCATGCCCGCTGGCCGAATGGCTTGTTTTTGCGTAGAAACTCTAGCTTTAATCGTAAAAATGTTTTTTAAGCTTTTTTAACTGCATTTGGTATTTTATCTTTTTCTTTATTTTACAGTTTTTAGTTCAGATTTTTTGATTTTTATGTATTTTTGCCTTACTGCTAACAGAGAATTGATTTGTTTGATTGATAAATATATCTGTAATGAAATTGGAGGAAATGTATTTAAATGCAATATATTTATATTACCTTAATTAATAATTAATTAAGGAAGTCATGTGGTGTTCACGTCAGATTTTTTTTATATGTTTTTGTTCAAAATCTGATAGGTTTTGCAAATAATTTTAGTAAATGCAACTGGAAATTGAGAAGAGAGAGTATATTTAGCATACAATGTAAAATAATTGCATTGTATACATACAAATAAATTCCACTGTTATTATCGCATTATAAACTGCGTCAATCTAGCTAACCACGATATACGTCAAATTGAGAGATTTTAATTTAGGCTTGCATCCTCTATATTAGTCACCAGTATGCCTGAAAGTTAGTAACAATATATACTATACTACTTATCACGTCCCCAGACCCTTTATCATGCGTTGCTTTCCAAATATCGAAGCAAAGGGCAAAGCAACTATAGCAAACAGAATCTTAAATTCTACCTCGTATCGAGAACTCTCATCTTCGGACTTCATCATATGTCAGGCCCAGTCGGGATACTGAGGATACTGGGAAGAGCAAGAACGAATTATCTTTCTGAATGCCAGTTAAAACACCAAAGCATCATCAGCATCACCCTTTTAAAATTTTCAAGATAAAAGAAGATACTCCTCTATATGTTTACTCCGTAAAATGTATCCTAAACTAGGAAGATCTTATATTGCAAGGATTTTTGTTTTCAAGTCAACACTGTACTTGACATTCACAATATTTTAAAGGAAAATTTCTTATTTTTCTGATTTTAGGTTCTGCAGGATGAATATATTCTTAGCTCTAATCTCAGTAGCATCTTTATACCTTTCGGCAACTGCATATACCCATAATAGAGCTCCTTCGGAACACCAGGAAACCGTAATTCCTCGCAGTCCCATCGTGTATAAAATAGAGCTAGAGGTAGTTGCAATTCTATTTTTTCAGTATATTCTAAATTTATTTCTGTTATTTTGTAACAACGCATTAAAAGTTTATAGAGATCATGTTTTGTGCTTTTTCTACCAGTTTATAATTTGGTACCTAAATGAAGGTATTAATAGTTCAGGTTTCTTTTTAAATTGAAGTAAAGTCTAATTGTGATACAAAATTGTACAATATTAAAACTTTTGTGAAATAGGAAAAATTAATAAAATGCAAATTTTAAGCTCTTGGCTACTTGTAACAGTTTGAACGAAATTTTGAATTTTACCACGCTTTGTTAAATGAGAAATATTACATAAATTTATCTTCCTGTAATTCATCAAATATTTTAATATCATATTGCAAAACAATAGCAAACAGAATTTCAGGGAAAGCCTTAGCAATCTCTTAAGGAAACGCGGTATTAATACTTCGGATCAATTTAGTTATTTAAACTAATTTACTTTTAACTATAATTTAACACATTTAAAAAGTGGTAATTTTTCGCGACGTGGAGGGATTAAGGCTTTATATTTAAATTCCCCCGCCATTTTGATTAATTTGTATGTGTAATTAATGCATTATTTACTAGGGTCTTTATCTTTCTAAATTAGTTCAGTTGATCACATTTTGGAACTTACCAATGAAAATGTATTCCGCATTCCTTCACTAAAGATATTCTCCTCTCTTAGGTATTGCAGAGTTCGATTCCTGGCGAAGGCGGTTGTTCATTTTTCATCTCTCCGGCTTTTCCAAAAATACCTAATGTCTCCACAGTGGCGCCCGAACTAAAAGGGTGTTGGATGAGGATTCTTCACACCCATGATTTGGCGAGTGGGTCCCTAAAAACCCCAGTCGCCCTTTAAAAGGAGGAGTACATAAGGTATTTCTCCCGCCTCCTAGCGTGCCTTCATGGTGTAGTGGTTCTGCACGCTGGGCCGGTATTCCAGAGGTCCCTGGTTCGATTCCCGGCGAAGGCGGTTGCTCATTTTTCAGCTCTCCTGCTTTTCCAAAAATACCTAATGTCTCTACAACACTATCTGTCTAAAAGTATCGGGGCACCCAGTGGTACGAACTCGTAGAATCCTGAGACATAAATTAATGTGATGTTTGTCCCCCTTTTGCATCGATGAGATCCTGCAATCATCTGGGGTGACATTTCCTCCAGTTTTTGTTTGGTGGCCGTAGGAATTGACTTCCAGTCGCCCATCACAACTGCAGTGAGTGCTGGCAGGGAGGATGGTAGATTTAGCTGGTAATGTAATCTGCGTTCTAATTCGTACCAAAGGTGTTCTGTGAAATTTAAATCGTGGATCTGGGAATGATAGTCCAGTTTTTGAACAATCATTTTGTCAAACCATGGCTGCGCAATTCTCGATGTGTGAATGGAGCAGTTATTCTGCTGGAATAGAAATGGATCTTTTCCGAAATATTGCCATCGGATTGGGACAGCAGCATTGTCCATAATATCCATATATATCTCATTGTTCATGTTTCCAGTCACAGGAACTGATGGACCCCTGACCAAGTCACGAAAAACGACCCCACATCATTGCTACCACCAAACTTTGCAGTCGGCAAAATGCAGTCATTTAAGAAGGCTTCTGTTAGAATGTTTGAAATTTCACGAACTGATTTCTCTCAAAAATAGCATCCCATTATACTGCCACTATTATAAGTCATAACCTCCTTTGACTAATGCAAAACAATAGCAAACTGTCTCACAAACGCATAAATATGACTTGACAAACTACTACCAACACTTTTATAGCTTTCTGTTGCTCACCAAATTACGTCATCTGCCACCACTTCTTTAGGAGAGCTGTTCGGAGTTTTTGGCAAGATAGTGCATAATTCAAGAACTAACGACGGACTGCGTATAAAATTATTAATTACGAGGAGAAAAACAGGTGTCCATTATCAATTGTAGACATGTATCTAGAGGGAAAAAATATATTGCAAAAGCTTAAACTGGTATAGATCATAACTAAACATATCAATTTTGAGGTCGATTTGATATACGGTCTTCTTTAGGAGTAAAAGGATTTTCTGTTTGCTTCAGCTATGCTGCTGAAAACTTGTTGGGGGTATGAAGATATAAGGGACCTACAGCGGGTAAAAAAAGTATTGACAATTGCCTATACTTGATCAATCTAGCTAACAAAAGAAATCCCTGACAATTTTAGTTGTACATAATGAACACAGGAGACAATAAAGACACAAATCCTAATGAAACTTTCGTTTTAATATGCCTTTTATACAAAATATACAACAAAAGCGTAAATTTGCATGTCAAAAAAGTATTGGCAAGATCATACAGTAAAATGTGAGAACAAAATTTAATACTTTGTATTCATACCTTTTGCATTTATAACAGCTTATAATCCATTTTCTCATAGAGAAAACCAAAGTCCTCGTTGTTAAAAAGGTCCTGTTAGAAAAAACCGAAGTCCTGTTGGGAATTGTGTGCCATGTTTGCAGGAGTATATGCTTAAGTTCATAGTTACACGAAATTTTATGTTTCCTGACTTCTAGGTCCAATTTGTGCCATAAATTTTCAATTGAATTTATGTCAGGGGATTGAGACAGTGTCTTTCACTGGCGAGGAGCGTTATAGATTAGCTATTGCTAGGTGAGGTTCACTGTATCCTTAGGGTCATTGTTCTGTTGAAACACAAATGATGTTCCTAAGCCAAGATTTTGGGAACTGAATTTCATGTTATGGGGCAATATGTCAATGTACGTGCTGTCATAATACCATCAACGAAGTACAGGTTATCAACTCCGTTTGCTGCCATACAGCCCCAAACGACGACGCTCCCTCCAACATGTTTTACAGTCGGTGTTAAATGTTGTATAACAGCTTTAAATAATATTAAAATCTTGTAGTTTAAATAATTTAAATAGATGAACATTAAGGTATTTGTGAATGGCAATATTTGAAACCAGACTCGAGTGCCTCGTGCGACTCTCGCACGAAGAATGTAATTTATTTTTAAATGATAGAATATGTTTTCTATTCTTGTTTGTATGTCGCCATTTTTTTGAGTGCTAAATAAAAGTTATTGCTGTGTTCCATCATTGGAGTTGCTTCATATTGCCAAAGAAGTATCACAGTCTTAATTATTTTGGAGGCACCGACCGAGATCGAATAATCGTGCGTATTTTTATTTTATTAGTCATCACTGAACATAGTATTAGTGATACCAGATTATTACTTCCTGTTCATATAGAATTGCTTTATTTTATTAGTTCATCACTGAACGCAATATTAGTGATACCAGATTATTACTTCCTGTTAATAATAAATTGTCTTATTTTATTACCGTATTTGATATTATATTTAACATTCATTTTAGTTGTCCATACGGTAGATATATATATATATTGCTCTATGTTATTATTCTTATTTTAATCACAATTAATGTGGTAGAGAGAATGAACTTCATATAATTTAAATATTTCATTTTTGAGCTATTTTGAAGAAATATAAGGAACACAGTGTTCGTTAATTTTAAACATAGAAACAATGTCTTACTTAGGAAGAGCTCGTAAGGAAGATTTGCAAAATCTCGCAGCTGAACTGGGAGTTCATGTGACTGCAGATTTGAAAATAGTTGATTTAAAACAGAAAATTGTTGAAAGTAAAGATTATGATGAAGTCTTCGTCAAAGGAGTCTTAGACACAATAATAGAAGAACGGAAAGAGAGGGAGGAAAGAGAAGAACGTAGGAGACAGGAAGAAGCAGAAGAGCGGAGAAGGAACGAACAGTATGAATTAGAGAGATTAAGACTTGAAGCAGAGAAAAAGTCTCAAAATACTGGACAGTACCGGCCGAAAACGGAGCTGCGTCACCTTATGCAGAAATTCGATGACAAGAAAGGAGATATCAGTCTATATTTGCTATTGTTTGAAAGGCAAGCAGAATGAGCTAAAATTGATAAAGAAGAATTTGTATCTCATTTACTAGGACTACTTCCTTACGAAGTAACCCAGTTAATAGCTAGAGAACCCTCCGATAAAGCTAAAGACTATGAACACGTGAAGAATTTATTGTTAAGATGGTTTAAGCTAAGCCCGGAAAAGTTTAGGCAGAAATTTATGAAACATCAAACCACATGGGTGGATTTCAACTATGTAATAGAAAATTATTGCAAAGAATGGGTAACTGGTCTAGGAGTTAAGACTTTTGATCAGTTGTAGATTTGATGGTGCTTGACCAACTTAAAACGTCGAGTTCCTCCTGAAATTCGAGATCATTTTCTTGATGAAGTGGGTAGAGATGATTTCATCTAAAAAATTAGCTGAAAAACTTGATGCCTATGAAAACGTTTGCGGAAACTTTCCAAAAAAGGTCCTGTGTAGTGGATCGGCAGAAAGAAAGATACAATGCACTAACTCAAAGGTAAATTGAGTTCAGATAATAAAAAAATAAAACTGAAAAAAAAATTGTCATCAGGATTTAATTCGCAAAGCTGGTTTCATAGACCTAGAAGGTCCACGCCCAGATGATAAATATGAAAAACGAAAAACGCCACAATGCTATCAGTGTGGGTCCTATCAACATTTAAGACCCCAATGTCCAAAACTTGAGAATAGTACTGAATCTCCGGCTAATCTTAACAGAATTAGTGCAAAACCAGAGGATAAATTTCTATTACCTTATATTAGTATGGGTTACGTAAATGGTCATAAAATTCCTATATTAAGGGATTCAGGTGCTAGTATTGATATAGTTTGTCGCAAATACATCACGCCGGAAATGCTGACAGGTGAATATGTGTGGGTGCAACAGCCATTAGATTTGAATCCAACCTGTTTACCATCGGCTGAGATCGAACTAAATTGCGATCTTGGGCGAGTAATAACTAAGGCTGCCATTATTAGAAATGAACTCGACAAAGGAAGGTATTTATTAGGCAATCGAACTTTTGCACTGTTGAATAAACAAAGAAAGGAACCTGATAATCATCCTCCCCAGGTTAATGCCGTCTCTACT